CAACTGAGATCAGCTAGCCCATCCGTGCAACGAACACGTCAGCCCATCTGGTCGGTGGCCTCTCTCGAGGACGTTTTGCTTCGCGAGATCCATTCTGGATTTCTAGGTGTTCTTCTATGGTCTGTCATTCTCGTGATATGACCGGGCCATCGATGTTTTGCCTTAAAGACGTATTGCTGAATCGCGAAGGCAACACATTTATCTCATTTAAAACCGCGAAGCTCGACGAGATGTCGAAAGTGTCGGTTGTACTACAGAAGACGTCGTTCCAGCGCTCTGTGAGTTGTTCGGAGTGCGACGTAGCCGCGCTCTTAGGCCACGCCGCTACGTAACAGAGCGCAGGGAGAAAGGTTGAATCGAAGAGGTGGGCTTGGAGCTTCGGGTCCGTCAGTTCATCTGTGACTTCCTTTAGGGGGCCGAAGGCGGCCCAAGCTGCTTTTTGCTTCTTGTTTGGCTCTTCTTTCTTCTAAACTTTCTTCGTTCTCCATGTTCAACGAACATACGGAAGAAGACGTCTTCGCGATTAAAGAGCCTATTTCCATTTCCTGATCGTCGCAAAAAGCGTTCCTCATGAACCCCTATTAGTTTTCCAACATCGTCTCTTCTTCACTGATATTCCTTGAGGAGAGAACAATGTTGTCCGCAACGAGGGTTTGAGACTCTTATCAACTCGTATACCTCCTCATTCCAATTTAGTGATTTCATCACCCACTGTAAGCAGCCGTAAACAGCTTTGGCGATACGGTGTCGCTTTGTCGAACCCCCTTCAACATTGATATGTTAAGGGGGTGATGAGAAACTGTACCGTTGAAGAGCAGTCCCAGTACCAGTGCCAATGTCCTCACGTAAGGTGGGTCCACCCCTTGGTCGACGAGCGCTGATAGCACACTTGCTTCACTAGAATCCGTGTTGGTATCTCTACAGTGGGATTAACGGGGTTTGACACGGGTATTGACGAGCGAAAGAAAATGGTGTAGAATCACTTCGTGACCGATTCCAATTTTTTTGTACGGGAAGATGCGCGAGTCCCGTTTTCGTTTAGTGATGTTGTCAGCGGAACAAGGTAGTCGAGAAGGTCCCTGCAGTGCTTTTTTAGAATTCTCCTTCCTTGTGCTTTTTCCAAAAGTTTCGATTACCTGTGCTTTCGAAGATCTTCTTGTAAAGCTGTTCTGCAACTGGTGTTGGCTACTAGTCGCTCGAGATGTGATCTGGTCGGATCCAGCCTCAGTGCTCTCCTCCCCTCCAGCAGATCCGCGGTGGTTTTCAAAATACGCCACAAATGCCTTGTTCGAGGCATCGGGGCACTTTCACCATAGGCCCTTAGTTTTTTGAAAAGCAGGTCGCAGGCTATCGTCGGGTCCTTTTCAACGGATAGTCACAAGTGTTCAGGAGCTCTTCCAATCTGACACCGGATCTTCTTTTCCAGAGTCGGCTGAAACGCTCTTTTGCTTGGAGAAGGCGGTGATCTCCACTGGTAAGGATGGTACCACTGAGACATTCAGTATGCACCACCTTCGGTCAGTGAGAATGGTCGGACTTCGCTTGAGTTGTAGTGTTGCTTGACCCCATGTCTACCGCCGGTATCTATCTTCAGAAGGTGGAATCGCATGAAAAAGTCGTGCGGCAGATAAGAGCCCAACAAGACGGATACTTTCCGTCTTGTTGGGCTCTCATTCCGGAGTCCTGATCCAAATCTCCCGATCCTATGCTCCATTTTTCTGATATCTCGGTTTTCGCATCGAATTCACCTTCGACAAATTTGTAGAAAAACTCCTCCTTGCGGATGACTTTTTCCAAATCCTCATAAAAAGCAGCAAGCTCCGAGTTATTGGCTGCTGATGATGGAGAGTTGCAGTTGATGATAGTAATGCTTTTTTATGCGGAGGATGGAGTCGAAGGACAGCCAGGGAGGGATAGGTTCTCATGCGAATCGACAAGGGACAACAGATGGGTGTGCGACCAAAAGGATGATGAATAGATGGGTATGACGGGTATCCAACCCTTCCGACGTTCCGTGAGGCAACTTTCTCATCACGAATGATGATTGTGCCATCGCTCAGCTGTCTCAAGTCCCTCTTCTTTGACTTTGTTTCTTGCAGGGCGATTGCGTGATAGCTGATGCGTCATGCAGTTTCAAGAAAGGGTGAAGATCGGCGTTAGTGGAGACTGTTCTGGCGTTGTACGTGCAGAGCATGAGACAATCTCCATGGCGAGTAGTTGACGTGTCCTTTTTATCCGAAATCCATGGCGCCCTGTGCAACCTGACAATAATTTTGATGACATCCGACGCCGGAGATGTGATTCAGTGTGCAGTGCTTTTTTTCCTATGACATGCTGTAAAAGCAATAAAATAAACCTCGAACTTAGCAGCCTGGCCAGTGCCTGCCAAGCTTTCATTACAGGCAATCGCTGACCTATGTGGATCAGGGAACCATCTACCGAATTATGGAAACGGCGAACTCCGTCTCAGCTTGGAAGACCCTGTTGATAACCTCCGCTACACTTCGCAGTTCGACACCCAAAGTCGCCTCTTCACCACGATGAAGTGGTAGACCATCGCGAGGGAAGATCTGATTTGCTAAGCTCATTTCTTTGAGTAAAGGATTCTTTACATCTGAAAAATTGACTTTTTCGAGCAAATCCCACCTATGAGAAGATATCCCTATTTTTTAAAAAAAGGATATAATATATCGTAACTTATTTAAGGCATCATTTCGATGTTGTTAATTTTAGATGGATAATACTTTGAAGTTCCATATACACAGAGATTTCTTCAATTATCTGAAAGAATTTGGAAATTGTCATGCTTATCTCTA